TTGAACATCTACACACCTCCATCTTGAGGGGGGGTATTAGCCGGTTTAGTTTATACCACTTGTAAATGTAATTTAAGCTGGTTTAGTTAGGTTTAGTCCGGTATAGATTTTACTATATATACATGTAAATGGTTGACTTTTGTAACTAACGAGATTGAATTCAAATGTTCAGTTACATCATTTTCTCATGAATCTCAATCTCTCATAACTTGTAGTGTAAGCAACAATAATTAAAGTTAGGTGGTAGGTACGTGATGTTTATGTTACGGAAAAAGTTGGCTTTCCTTTAAACAATTTATATTAGTAATTGTGGGTAACAAATTAAACATCGGTGCTTGATGAATTTTGTTTCACATCTCAACAATGAATATGGTGAGATCTTTTTTTTAATGTGCTGTCTTCTCTTTTTCAGGTGATTCAAATTTGAAAGATGACACTTCACTCAGCCAAGATGATGGTTCACTCAGTCAATCTGATGAAGAATACGAAATAGTCGATAAAGAGGATCAACTTGAAACTAAAGGTTTTGATGCTTTAGAAGCAAACAATGAGAATGAAAAGAGAGATAACCTTTGTATTGGAATGGAGTTTAGTTCTGATGAGTCTGCGCATATAGCTTATGGTTCACTCAGTCAAACAAAGGAGGACGAAAAAAATAAAGAAGATTAAAAGGTAGTATATATGCTCAAAAGAGGGAGCTAGGAAAGATACTAAGGTCAAAAGATCTTATTGGTCTTTTGTAATTTTTAATTAAAGATGTTTTACACAAGTCGAGCAGGGGATATCATTGCTTTGACGAATGTATACAACTGTCCTCAACTTCTCTTTAGTTTGTAACCAATGTCAAGTGCCATCTTCTCTCACGTTGATTTTCTTCTTCTAGGTGACTCTCCTTGGTCACTTCTTGTTCCTTAGTTTCTTGCGCTTCAAGCTTCCTTTTTCTTCCTTCTTTGTAACTTCTTCTCTACTACTCTTGTTTGCTCCTCTTCTTCTTCTACGTGACTCTAACATCAATAGAACCAAATACACACCATCATATTACCGACTCCGTCAGCTACTTTACAACCAGACATTAGAAAATGAGATTTTTGATCCTTGTGGACCTGTACAAGAGACAGTGTTAGCAAGTAGAAAGAGAAGAAAAAGCACAAACTTGAACAAGCAGAAACATGATGAACTCACAATCTTGCTTTCACATGTCATGCTATGTCCATCAATGGCAAGAGAATGGCCATTAATTAGCTCTCCGTCCGCAGGGACCTGGTCACCTATTCTAAGAGGTATAACATCTTAGACAACAACATTATAGAACGAAATCTTCAGTAATTTGCAAAAGCATGCTTCCACAGAAACGTAACCTACGGATCAGACATATCCTCTAGTGATGAAATCGAAAACATCTTTGCCAAATTCATTAGTTTTTGTGAATTTGATCGTGATCAAAGAAAATCTAACAACTATATGATCAATTTAAGGTAACGACAGCTTCTTCTCTACTAGTCTTCTTTGCTCCTCCTTTTCATCTTCGACATGACTCTCCTTGGTCAACGAGGGTTAGAAGCCGGCGTCGTGGTTCTGTTTTTTCTTTCCTTTTCTTTTTTCTCGTTTCCTTTTTTTTTAATAATAAAATTTATATTTCTAATTATTGTTTGCCTTTTTTTTTTGAAGAATTAGATATGAGTTGGCAATTTATTAGTGGTTAGTGAACCTATAGGTTCACCCTAGTGGGTGAACCCAGGAAAAACTCATATTGCAATGGTTAATCTCGGATGGAATCCGCCGTTTGTGTTGATTCATTCGCTGGTGTTCTTCTAACCGGTAATAGGAAACCATTACCGTTACGGAATACATTTAATCGTTGTCATTAACGTTCTTTTTAACTCATTCCCTCCATGAATTCTACTTTTTCTCACTCAATGAATCTCTTCTTCTTCGAATCTGTGAATCTGCAACTATAAATAAATGACTTTGTAATCGTATAATTCACCATTTCATGCTTTACATACCATTGTTACTCGCCTTCTTTGTTTTGGATTTCAGCTCACTAGCTTTGGAAACGAATCCATAAACGTTTATGCGAGCATGCTGAAGTGAAAGCTCATGGGACGGTGTAGAGGATGGTTTTCTTCTTGGCAGTTAGGGAGGAGACAATGACTGTTTTTACACCACCATAGCGGGATCGAGGTAAGAGAGAGTAGAGTCAAGGAGTTAATCTCCCATGAAAATGGCAGAAGTGATGGTAACTGAGACGGAGCTGGTAGTTGTGGTGGAGATGCGGTGGATGCTGAATTGAGGGAGATATTAGAAGAGAGAGTGTGTGAAGGAGAGAGACCATGAATGTGGAGGTTGGGAAGAGGAATGGTTTGGCGGCGGGGATATACTATCCACTGCACTGATTTCATATTTTTGATAAAAGCAGACAAATAAATATTAGATCTTTATAAATTATAACTATGTGGGAACATGCTAATTAGCATGAAATTCAGAATACTCATTCAAGTGTAAATTCCAGTAAATTAGATATATATTATCTCCACCCAAGAAATTAAGTATATATTTTATTGTTAGTAGATGGCTAGATGTTGCAAATGTGTTTTTTTGCTCCGCCTTAAGAAATAAAAATACACACTGTAGTATAGCTTTCTGAAAAACTATTCGATTTTTTGTATCTTGAAAGTTTTTTTTCTTTTTCTTGAAAGTTAAAAATAGATTTTTCCAATGATGGGAAAATAGAAACTGAAAATAGTTGTAGATTTGCAATTTATTTTAAATATCATTTTCTAAATTAAGTAAACGAATCCAAAGGAAGAACAAAACTATTCATATAAAGTATGTTTTTCTCTATAAATTTGACATTCATCATACCTTTCTACAAATTAATTATATTATCTCAGATTTTTTATATTGTTTTCTAATTAGATCAAATCTATTTAAAACATTTAGCCATCGACGTTCTCTAATTAGTATTTCATTTACAATCCAAAAAATATTTAATATTATTTGTTGTCAACTAATGATAATATAGTGGAAATACATAAATTTCTGATAGATAATTCAATATTTTTTTTTGACAGATAAAAATATAGTTGGCCAATGATTTGAAAGTAGAAAGTGTAATTTTTTTGTTGATTACCTAAAATTTAAAAGATTTTAGGAATTATTATTAAATTAATTATATATATATTTAAAAAAAAAACCTATCTATTCCTATATATGTTTTATATTTTCTTAATTTTTATGAGCAATGCAACTTCAATTTGTTAACTACTAAAACTATCTATCTATCTATCTATCTATCTATCTATCTATCTATCTATCTATCTATCTATCTATCTATCTATCTATCTATCTATCTATCTATCTATCTATCTATCTATCTATCTATCTATCTATCTATCTATCTATCTATCTATCTATCTATCTATCTATCTATCTATCTATCTATCTATCTATCTATCTATCTATCTATCTATCTATCTATCTATCTATCTATCTATCTATCTATCTATCTATCTATCTATCTATCTATCTATCTATCTATCTATCTATCTATCTATCTATCTATCTATCTATCTATCTATCTATCTATCTATCTATCTATTATTATAAAATAGATTTCTCTCAATTTTGAGAGCTCCACGTCACAAATTCGTTTGCCGCCCTGTTAACACGTGTCACATCTACCAAAACTCACCATATCACTTAAACTCTTAAGCGTGATGGGCTATTTCTTTACCTGTATGTTTACATATTTGGACTCTAGATTTATAAGTTTTTACAGCCCAAGTAGATGGATTTCCTCTGTAACCCTAATACTAAAGACGTGAAACCATGGAGTTATGATTCCCTCTTTGTTCTACGGCGGTGCAGTGATGCTTGAGTTTATCTCTGTCTCTGGATTCATTGCTTTTCCGTGGGAAACCAAAACCATTATGAACTACATTTAATCGTCGTTGTTAACGTCCTTCTTTACTCCTCACACTCCTTCTAAGATTTATCATTCAATGCATCTCTTCTTCCAATCGATGAATCTGCAGCTATAAATAGGGTAGTCTTCATCCGTGAATTTCATCGTTTCATTGAAAAAAATCATAGTAGTCTTTAAACTTTCTGTGAGCAGAATATAATACTCCTCTCTTCCATGCCTTCATGACTTCAAAGCCTGTTGATGAAATACCTGTTGGAACCCAAATTTATAAGCCATTGGGCTGTGTAAATTTATGTTGTAATGTGAAGAAAAATATGGATCAAATGTCTTTTGGGCTCTAATTAAAAAGCATTTCATTTGAATTGCAAGAGTAAAAAAGAATAATTCCAGGAATATGCCGGAATAATTTCAGGAATATGCCGGAATAATTCTAGGAATATGCGAGAATAATTCCATGAATATACCGGAATAATTCCATGAATATCCTTTATTTTAGGCGAACCTTTCTATATAAATAGACGCCTAACCTCTTCATTGTTTCTCAGACTGAAAAGCAAGCAACAAACAGTTCCAGTAAAAACTCGAGTCTTCTCTTAAAGTAAGTCTCGAGAGTATAGCGTAGTAGTTAGTTCGTAGATTTTGTTTCGGGTGCAGCGAAACAGTCTCATCGTGGTTGTATCCTGGGATTCAAAAATCGCATCTAAACCGTCTCACATTACGGGCGATTTATTGAGTTAAGGAAATAGATCAAATCTCGACTCCACGAATTCGTCTATTTCCTTAACGATTTCTTAAACGTTTTTTCCGTCTCATCTTATCGTTATACGATTTCTATTTCGTGGTTTTCAATCAGGATTTTCGCGGTCCTACAATCTTAACTCAATAAATCCGCTTTCTGCTTATCGCTAAAATCGGATTGAATATTGCGAACAATATTTATGAAAAACGGTTTATAAAACGTTTCTAAAAAATAGATCTGAAACGATTTGCGAACGCTTTTAGCTATTCTGCGAAACGCTTTGATCAACTTAGACGAATCGTTCTAGAAAAAGATTTACGCGACAGTCTATAACAGGTTCGCGATCTCGTTTTCTGTTTACAAAAAAACAAATTTATTACTAAAAATAGTGTTTAAGAACGTCTTTCTGACGAGTTTTAGAAACGACTATTGAACGTTTAAGAACGCTATACGCGAATCTGGGAACGTATATAGTATATCGACTTGGAATCTCTTAATCGCTTATTGAATTGAGTTCTCAAAACTTACTAAGGTTTGTGTCTTTTGTGAACAGATTCAATCATAACTTAAGATAAGTCATGTGAAACATGGATAAATATTAAAAGATTGAGTTCATAATATTTTCGAATAAATCTTAAAATATTGAGTTCATAATATTTTGAATAAATTTTAAAAGAATAAATTCATCATAAAAGTTTTGGATAACTCTTATAAGATTGAGTCCATAATGTTTTGGATAAATCATATAAGATTAAGTTCATAATATTTTTGATAAGTTGGTATGTAAATATATATATTTTACAACAACATCCAAAGATTTACAAAGTATTTATTACGGGTAAATCAATATCTAAAGATTGTGTCCATACGGATAAATCTATATAAGAACTATGTCCAATAATTTATTAAAAATATATATTAAAAATATTTATTTTGAATAAATCTAAATCTAAAGATTTTAGATTGCGTTTAATTATTTTGAATAAATCTAAATCTAAAGATTTTCGATTGCGTTTAATTATTTTGAATAAATCTAAATCTAAGGATTAAAGAATGATTGCGTTCAAATAATCATAAAATATTTGATGAGTGAGACGACAACCCTAATTGGAAGAAGTGTCATTTACAACATATAATAAATGGCAAAAGTCCATGTAATTTGAAGAGGTAATGTACATTCATACAAACACCTCAAAGTGTGAGGGTACTTGGCAAAAGTCGTTGTACTAAATCCTAAAAATGTGGAGAAGCTAAGCATAAAAAAAAATTGATGTACTACCTCCTAAAAAGATAAAAAATGAAACATGATTACTGTGATCTCAAAAAGTCAGCTGGCGACCTTGTTGATATGCACCAAAGGTTCATTATGAGATTAGTTTTTAAAATCATCGAAGGTAGTGGGTTTATTTCCTATTATTAAGAAGATGTTTGATGAAACCCCACCAACGCGATTGGAGATCCCAAGAGGTTGGTTCAAAGGGAAAAATAAGTCAAGCAGAATCTGATTAAAGCACTGAGAATTACTCAGATCCCAAGATGATAACAGTGCTTCCTGTAGATATTAAGGTAAAGCAGTGGCTTTTTAATGAGATAAGACCATAAATCT